CATCAATTTCCAGGACTTCACAGTCAGCTTCAACAATTGAATCCTACAGACAACTATACACAAGAAACCTGTGGATAACCAATTATTGCCCAAGTGGCTAACTATGTGGGGAGATGGACTTTGTTAACCCTCAGTTTGAGGTAAAATTAATGAATGTCCATCCCAGAATTTTGTTTGTCCTGAGGCGTCTCCCTATTTCTATTCCTCAAATTTATTTTTAAAAATTCACTAATATTTTCAGAATGTTCGTTTGGGGGTATAGGTAAGAAACCTAGACTGGCTCTGAACAAATTATAGATCCCCCTATCTCTGGGAGGATTTCATTTTCCCAACTTGGAAAATCAGATCTCCTTTTTGTTAAGACAGGCATTTTGTGGGTTCAGATTGACCAAAAATTGATATACCCTCTCCCCCTTCCAGGCATTGTAGGATCAAATTATTATAGATTTGATGGCTCCAGAACATCCACAATAACAGCTGTTAAGCAAGCTTGGTCAAACTTGGGTGGAGAGTTCTGCTTCCATCCATTCTTCCACACTGGGGGGGGCCCTATGGAATAATCCAGTCCTTAAAAGTGGTGGCAAAACCTTGATATGGAGAGATTGAATGGACCGACGAATTATGACTGTGATATAGCTAACCAACGATTTAAACCATTTGTAGATCTTCAGCAACAATTTGTCTTTTCCTGCACCAGAGCATGGAAATATCTCCAGGCAAGCATTTACATATGAACATCGTTGGACCAGAAGCATTGGGAACTCCAGAACCTTTATTACTTTGGAGGAAAACTTCATGGATTTATTCAGCTTTTTTATTCTGTCCCAAAAAAATCTGCCAAAGATTGATACTTTGAGACTTCCTTGGAATAGAGATTTGGATACACAACCATCTCCAACCTAATGGAATACAATTGTATCTAATGTTTAAAAAGCAACTATAGGTTAGAGAATATGGCTAATTCACTGAAAGACACTTTTTCGAAAATACTGGTCCCCACATCGGGTAATGGGCAAATAAATGCTGACTGCTGTTGGAAATTTAACTCCCTCGGTGTTATATTAGCTTATATGTTTTGGGTTGCCCCTGTATCAACAATTTCTGATATGAGGTGGATCAAAGGACCAATTTAATATTTGATGCTAAGGTGGAGCCCTCCCACTTAATGTTCACTCTTGGATATATTTCTGATACGTGAAGATTATCTGATAATAAGGCAGTGTGGTTTCAAGGTGCAGCTTTGGTTGCTTTAAAAAAAAAAATCCTACAAAAATGGAAAAGTTGATCCCCACCAAATATTAATGCCTGGCTCAGTGATACAGCTGATCTTGCAGCTATCAAATGACTGGCATTATGCAGAAAGGGAATGCCTGAAAAACTGAAAACAATTAAGCTGACCTTTTAGAGGTCTATGATTAACATGGACCCTGAGGATAGATGTTGTTTCCCTTCCCCTACCTTTATCTACTTTGTATATTATAATGATTCTTATATTTTGGTATATTTGTTGTATTTGGGAAAATATAAATTTATTAATAAAACCCATTGATTACTAAACACTTCTCTTCACAGATTCAGTAATCATCCCAGACACACTAAGAAATCTATTGTTTGCAACCAGGCACTCAAATACCACAAAAAGAACAGGAGTACT